TTTTTAAATTGGTCTCTCTGGTATTAGGATTAACTTGATAAATTCCGAAATTGTACGCATTTTCACCGTGACAATATATTAATGGATTTTGTAGAGCATCATAATATCGATGCGTTTCATAAATCCCTGGCAGTCGATCGTCATGTGTGTGCAACACGATGTCACGTCTATCGCACTCCTGGTTAACTAATACCACTGCCACTTCATCAGTGACAGGAACGTTGCTACCGCGGTGTTCAGTAACTTTTTGTTTTTAGTAACAGGACGTCTGTCAGCGTTAATAACTATTTTAAAATTGTTTATTAAATCTTAACGGATCGATTGCAATGCAACCCTAAAACTATGAACGTATGGATTTATTTCATGTAGCATCCTTTGAAATTGGGATATGAGTTCGCTATTGAGTTGTGGGAAGTTGTGATTTCGGATATTAGTATGTTCATTAGAATCTGATACAAAATAAATTGACTATTAAACTTATATATACATATATATTTATAACTCATAATATATATATCATTTAATTTAATTTATTAAGTTGAAATTGAAATTGAAAATATATAATATCTACATTGGTTCTGGGTAATGTATGGTTACAATACATTACCCGTATAATATTCTCACAAATACATTACCCGTATTTTTGTGAGACTGAATGCACGATGCACGTCAGTGAGTCTCAATACGATTCGGAGTATCTTAACGCCGCAATTCAGAAAAGAATGTAATTTGTACAATGCCATCTATTACGTTCCTTGTGAGAAAACTTTTTTAATTTAAGGAAAACATCTTTTTTATTGTCTACTTTGTTTTAAGTATAAATATATTATTATAGAACGTTTTTTTACACACAAATCTTTTTATTACTTTTTCTGAGATTTTATGGCGCCATTGAACAAATTAGAACCTACATTTTAAACTAATAATCATAACTTTCTATAGAATTAACCAAATTTAATAAAACAAAAATTAAATGTAACTTGAAGATACGTTTTATGATTTTCTTAACGATTTCTTTAAAAAAAAATGTTTACTTTAGATGTGATGCGTTTATAAACAAACAGACAGACAGACAGACAATTCTAAAAATGTTTAATATGTGTTTACTTAATTATTTTCATTTCCCTATAATGATTTTAGTGACAAATATTCTATACAATGCACAAAAACTGACACAACATGTTATTACCATTTTTATTATAAGTATATATTTAAAGAGAGATGGCGCTGCTAACAGCAATCAATTCTAAAAATAAAAGAGATTAATGAGGGCATCCACGACTTTTTCTGCCACCAGGGCGGCGCCACTTTAGAGTAAGGTAAAATATTTGACAGATTTCATAGCGGGGATGATAATTTCTTAGGAAAATGTAATCTTTAAGGTTTCCTTATGTATTATTAGTTATATTTTATATTAATTACATTAGAAATGAATAAACCAAACTATAAATATAACTAAAAGACGGCTTTTTAAAAAAAAAGTTATAATGTGCAAAAAATTAAAAATCAAACCACTGACGCATTGTGTTGTGTATTAATATAATACTCTAGATAATGATAAACTATTATTTAAAACTAATTTCTCAATTAACTGACATTGTGTAACAAAAAATTTTACCTCAGTCACAACTAGCGACATCTGGTGAGTGGAAGATTATTAGCCCTCATTGACGCGATTGGTACATTATTATATATATAAAACATAAAAGAACTTATAAACCAGTGTCTGCATAGTAAGCAAAACGCCTTTTTATATTACATTTGGACCATTCCGCCATCTATCGATGAAATTGGTTAACTATTTCACTTTAGATTTAGTTAATAAGGTTATAATATATTTTTGTATATTATTTTATTTAATACGTTCTTTAATACTTTTGTTTACTGCGTTTTAGATATAATTATATCATTATAGAACATTATTTTACCTAATTTAATTATGATTTATGATATAGTATTAGTTTAAAATGCACTTGATGACTCAACCAACGCCACCGTTGAACAAATTCGTACCTATACTTCGTATTCATACTTCAGAATATTTATCATAACTTTTGATTGAATGAACTGATTTTAATAAAATAAAGACTAAATGTAACACGAAGATACACTTTATATTTTCCTTAATGATTCTTATGATATAAATAAGTACTTTATACGTGATACGTTAACAAACAAACAGACAGACAGACAGACAGACGGACAGACAGAAAATTCTAAAAATGGTAGAAATGTATTTAGTTACTTATTTTTAGTACCTCTCAATCACTTTTATTACAAAAATATAAAATGTACAGACGTCTGCTTTTTACATTTTTATTATATGTATAGATTGGGTAAATAATTAAATATATTAATATTTTAATAATTATTTATGCATTTATTTTATTTATGCAACTTAAAAATATAAATCGTATGTTACTTTCCTTATACATACCTAATTATGTTGCCACAGCCTATAAATTTCATTGAGGCTTCATTAACATAGTTTACGTAGGTAACAAATACCCTTTGCATTGTTTTAAATTCAGAGCAGGTCTGCATTATATGAAACAGTAGTAGGTCATAGATCACATAGATTATGTTATTCGTCCAAATCCTGTAACTATATAGAGATTAGTTTCGACACCTACGGGGTGATATGGGATTGTGGATATTCTTACGTCGCCACTACATGGTCCACAAATAAATACATTTACATTCATACATATCAATGAATGTTTAGCACTTATATAGCTGACAAGGCAGACGTTATTCCGCTCTCTCCGACGACCCTTTGTTATAAAAAAAAATTCTTAAATTCGCAATAAAAATATTAAGGGTCACTTATCGGGATAAAACTATCATATCTCTATTAAATTGGAGCAAGCAATAAACATTTACAAAATTTCATTAAAGTAGGTTGAGCGGTATCGGAGATTAGCGTGAACGAGCATCGTAACACTGGTTTTTTTTTATATATTTAGATATTGTATAGTGATGATAGAATTCAATAAATAATAAAAATTACAAAACGAGCTGATGATCTTCAAACGGCTGAACAGATTTTCTTGAACCATAGCTAAGAACACGAAGTCGGTCGGTCGGTCGGAAAAAGTCGGGGATTAAAAAAGGAGTTTTTTTAATTATATTTATGTGATGATGTAACTCTATATCTTTGACAATTATAACCGAGTTCAATTATTCTCTTGGGTCGGGTGTGTTCCTATAAAAATTACAAGAGAAAATTCCACCACCAAGGAAGGCTATGAAGCTCTTAACTATTTAGATGACATTCTTTTTCTTTCTTAACCGATTTCACTCAACTCGACTGTATTTTTTTATGTGTTACCTCATAAAAGTAACTTTTTTCCAGGTGGACCGATTTTGATTTTTTTTATTCGAAAGCTGGTGCTTCTCGTGTGGTCTCATATAAATTTGATCAAGATCTGACCAATAGTTTTGAGTTATCCTTAATAGTTTATATTGAAGTCGGTTGTACGATTTTTTTTAATTCTACCACTTGTTTAAAAAACGTTACCCACACTACTAGTGTAATTGTGTCCTGTATTGTGGAGGCAGTTTACAAACATAATTTGCACACGGACAAACATCCACACCCGGAACAATTATTTGTGGACCAGTTCCTCGAGTTATATGGCCGGCACATTGCCACTTCAGCTAACCGATCGTCAAAGTGCAAAATGCAGGTGGTCTCCGGTTCTCTACACAACAGCATTAAGCTGCTATTTTGCGCTGGTATTCTGTGAGAGCGTGTTCCTTCCCAATTGATCCGACACATTCGTGATATCACCGTAATATATAGCTGCAGCGTTGCTCTACTACGATTACAAATGAGAGGTTGTCTGATTGTGTAGAGGAACATTAAATCTTGTAATTCCTGTGCTCTATACATAATTTGATCCATTGCGACAAAAATGACACTTAAATACACCATAAAACGCTTTATATAATTTATTATATTTAATGAATGATTTATTTGTACAGAATTAAAACACGTAACCTATGAAGTAATCTCACATAGTACCCCCTCCCCCGAATCATCCTCACGCCCCGCACCTGCGTCCCCATTTCAACCGGTGACACAACGTGCTTCAGCTGAGCGTATTTTGAGCCAGCCGCTGGCGGAACGCCAAGTTGTTGTTTTTTTGATGTCGTTGACTCTAGCCATGGTGACTGGTTTGCCATCGTGGTATGCGCGGGAATGCGCGGTACCGCAGCCCAAAAGTCATGTTGTTTCAAAGGGTAATTTATTCATTGCTCCTAACACTCTCCTACTATCGGTACCACGTATTTTTATTTGGCACCCAAATAAAAATCACATTATCAATAACAGAGCAGTAGTACCGCAGACAAATTCTTGAGGAGGTCTGTACCTATCTGTTAGATGTATAAAGGCTGTAACTTCACTTGACATTTTAGGATTCCGTACCTCAAGAGGAAAAACGGAACCTTTACAGAATCTACTTTGTTATCCGTCCGGACGGTTATAAGTATCAAGTTCTAATTTATACCAAATACGTCTATTATAAAAAAAATTACAATTTCTAGGTCAACGAAATCAAAAGATAAGGACAAAAGCCTATTAAAATTATTAACTACTTGCAAACTTACTCATTAAACCTTTTAGACACTAATACCCACTTACTTAAAAATCTAGAAATTTGGCAAGAAGCAAGGTCCTACAGCACAGTAAAGGAAGAAATCCGGCAATCGTGCATTTGTAGTTATATCGGACTAAAATATATTTTTGTGGTTACAAACATAATTGCAGATATTCATCAACCACGATGTAGACCGGTGAACGGAAGAACATTTTTCCCACTGCAAAGTTCATCCTTCAATGTGACTTTCAATTTCGTATGTTCTCTCCATACTTTATCCATATATACATAATTACGTATATACGTAATCCTCAGCGCGAGACCTACTGGCACTTGTCTAGTTTTTCAAAGAAAATTTTGAAAAAAGTCTCAACAATAATTTCCGTTTTGTTGCAGGCAAGTCGCCCTTTTTCCCCGGCGTGGAGGACGCGGCAGTGGTGGCGGGCGTAGCGGGCGCTGGCTCGCCCGCCGTACCCCCCGACCAGACGCAGGATGTGGTCTCCAGGCTCAGCGCTGCCGGTGAGGAATCTTTCATGTTTGGACCATATTTAGTGTGTATGTTTTAAGCCACAAACATAGTTATTTAGATTTGAAAGATAGATCCATCTTCCTTATGGTGGAAGCATTCTTCAGCTTTCTTTTATACGTAGTAGAGCTAAACTGCATCTATATTTTGGTTGTAGCACGAATGTGTCGGCTGGATCTGGGAAGTACAATACTCTCACAGAATACCAGCGTAAAGTTTCAGCTTAACGATACTGTTTTGTATGTTGAGTTTAGAGAACCAGAGACCCATTGCACCGGAAACGAAGCATTCCATCTTAGTCTTCTGAGGTGAAAATGCATCTGCATGTGGCCCATAGACATCTACGTCTATCCTCGATTAAGAGTCAAAATCCAGATGCGTTGCCAGCAGGATGGTTGAACTTGAAGCACCGGAAGCATTGCTGTAACGGCGGGACATATTCAAACACCCTGAACGAAAATAGGTCATATTGGATGTTGTCGGGTAGAACATTTGATAAGAAAGTTATACTGATAGTCTCGAGACCTACAGTACTTTGGCCGACTTTTTCCGTGAATCTTCTCACTGAAATAATTTCATAGATCGAAGACAGTTTTGTATATAAATCCTTGTTCGAAATGTTGGTAGGCACATATCTGATGATTCCAGTTTTTTCTATCTGCGCTGCAGGAATATGTGCCTGCAAGTTGTGTTTTGTTAAAAAATCTGTATTTGTGACGAATTATTATTATAGGCGTTGCCAGCCCTGAGGACTAAGTTGGCATGCCACGTTTGCAGTAAAAAGGGTATCCGGATCTACACTCACCTTACGAAACACAGCAGCAATTGAGGTGCTATTTCGCGCTAGTATCCTAAGAAAGCATGGTCCTTCCTCGGTCGACCATTCGTGCTAACATTATAATATAGCTAGCTGCAGCATGGATCTACCACGTATAAAATTTATACAGATGTATATATGGCTTCAAAATACGGTCCTGAGCCACCCGCATCCATCTCTAACCGGGTCGTCTTTCCATCTAGTAAGAAGTCGTCCGCCTTTCAACATGAGGCTATCATTCGAGAATCTTTATTTATTTAAGTACACCGACTGTTACAACAATGCAGAAATAGTAAACATACATCCACTTATATATTAATTGTACAATCAATTAAAGGTAATACACCACAACATGCTTTTAGTCCTGTCGCTGCCGGGAACAAAGTCAATGGTGCCCTGACTGCGTTAGTCAAAAGGCAAGGCGTAGCGAAGAGTGCACGCCTTGCAATACATAACGCAGTGTTGGTACCGACTTTGTTATATGGCAGCGAAACCTGGATATGCCAGAAGAAGCATAAAAGTAAGTTGAATGCAGTGGAGATGCGATCTCTTCGTAAAATGTGCGGCGTTACTATGGCCGACCGAAAGCGAAACGAAGAGATACGCAATATGGCAGGTTTGAAAGATGACCTTATCACAAAAATTGATAAGGGCGTGCTTCGGTGGTTAACACAACGTGCCCAACGTTGAGCGAATGAATGAAGACCGAATGGTGAAGAAAATATATAGCGCGAAAGTTAATATTAAAAGGTGTCGAGGTAGACCGAGACTAACTTTCGAAGACCATGTGAGCAAATTGCTCGAAGAGGGGTAGGGTCAGGAGTACTCGGATACCTAGACGTGCATGCATGAAGAAGATAATGAATCTGAAAGAAGCGAAAGAGGTTTGTAAGGATCGTGACACTTGGCGATCTGTTCTCTCTGGCTACCCCGTTAGGGATTGTGCGTGAAGATAAGTATGCTTTTAGTAAGGGTTATTATACTACTAAAAAGTACATTTTTGATAATAACCCCTGGAAATTAGGTGATCGCTACCATGCTGTTTCTGACTAGCGTTATTTTTTTTAAGTCTCGCTGCATTTCTTGCTATTTCTTCCCAAGACGGCGGTTTTTTCTGAACTAGTGGTAAAGCTTAAATAACTTTCAATAAGTTATTTTTTATAGGATAGGGTGACAAACGAGCACACAGTCTACCTGATGGTAAGTGGTTGCTGTGGCCCATAGACATCTACATCTATCCTCAATAAAGAATCAAAATGCAGATGCGTTGTACCCCGTCAGGACTAAGATGGAATGCCTCCTTTCAAGTAAAAAGGGTCTCCGATTCTCTACGCTCACCATACGAAACACAGCAGTGTTGAGCTGCTGTTATACGCTGGTATCCTGTGAGAGCGTCGTCCTTCCCCGGTGGAGCCGACCAATTTGGGTGCTACAACTATACTAATATAGCTGCAGCATGGCTCTATCACGTATAAGAGTTTGTTTGTAATCTATATTAAATAAAAATGATTCTATTCTATTCTAAAGAACCTATGTATTGCACAGACTTCAGAATGTGAAATTATTATATTCTTTTTAGATCTTTGTGACCATAATTTTAAAAGTTTATATTTAGCGTTAACGATTGTAGATTGTATTAACTTGGCTTGTACCACTAATCCGACATTGTCATTCATTATACGAAAGAATATTTTTAATACTTGCTGTCAATTAATTTTGTATATTGATGGACTACGAGTAATTGCAGTTATAATAATATACGTAACCTGTAACATTGTTTATGTAATGTCTGTAATCTTTTTGAGTGCCTTAGTCATCATCATCATTACAGCCCTTCACAAGTCCACTGCTGAACGTACGGCACAAGGAATGTCACAAAGTACGGTCCATCGACTTCCTGCATGTATTACTACTACGTCACTTCATCTAGTGGGAGGGGGGGATGCGTATACTCTTCAAGAACTGTGCTTACCCAATAAAATTATAAAGATTTGCAGTTGTGTGCGCATCACGGAAAAACTACTGGATAGAATTTAATTCAATTTTCTAAGTTTTATCTCTTAGATACTTGGCCCTTATCTAAAAAAATAATTGCGATATCTTCATTATAAAGTTATTAGGAACAATAATTTTATACGGTAGTTTTTTCACACGGTCAACGGTACATCGCTTGCACTCGCGTTACTAACCCAGATGATCTATATATTATAGCTACAAACGGAGCAACGAATAACATTGTTTACAAAGAAATTTTGTCTTTTTGATGTTTTTTCCTTCGCACATACGAATGAAAACTTTGTTAATATATCAAGCAACGCGGACGAAGTCGCGGGTATCAGCTAGTTAATAAAATAAAATGCGTCCCATAGTTGGAACATCTTCTACTGAGAGGGTTTTCGGGGCAATTCGTCTGTCGCAGTGTAGGACTACTTCACATGACTTCATAGTATTTCATTTCTCATAATGCAGGCTACCTCCCAATGTTTTCCTTCACCGCCGAGCATTTGGTTCATTAAAACTGCAAATTGCAAAAAGTCATTGGTACCGGTATGCACGTATAAACGTTGTACACGGGTATTCTTACAGTGTTTCCTTCACCACCGAGCAAGCAATATATCAGCATTTATTTGAAATTAACCATTATATTCGCGCCGGCGGAATCGAACCCGGTTGCTCGCTTCGACCACTCCAATAAGCTACCACGTCTACCTATCCTTGAACTCTGACGCGATCTTTTGACGCAGTGGCTTAGCGATGAGTTGCAGCGCTAAGAGCTGCATGTTTGAATCCATGCACGAAACAAGTATTTATATGACCTACAAATAATTATTCCAGGTCTGGATATTTGTCCCTAGATTAATTATGTATGTAGACTGACGCCACGATACAGGAGAAAATCCTAGTGTGGAGGTAAAGTTTTTAAAAAAACTATTTTTGACAAACTTCGAAAAGAGGTTCTCAATTCGAGTACATGTTCCTTTTTTATTTGTATGTATGTTACCCTATATCTTCGCAGATTCTGAACCGATTTTAATTTTTTTTATAGGATAGAGTGACAAACGAGCACTCAGTCCACCTGATAGTAAGTGGTTGCTGCGGCCCATAGAGATCTACATTTATCCTCGTTTGCGTAATCAAAATGCAGATGCGTTGTCACCCGTGAGGACTAAGATAGAATGCCTCTTTTCCAGTAAAAAGGGTCTCCGGTTCTCTACACTATCTCTACACCATACGAAACACAGCAGCATGAAGCCGCTATTTGACGCTGGTATTCTGTGAGAGCGTGGTCCTTCCCCGGTCGAGCCGACTATATTACTAATATAACTATACTACTAATATAGCTGTAGCATGGCTCTTTATTCCTTTTTTTATTAAATAGGCTTTATCTCAAGGTTATACTTCAAGGGCGGTCCATATAAATTTGGAGAAAAAAATTAGCAATTTGAAGTTTTTACTTTTTGTTAAAAGTTATAATTATTACAGGTTTATCGATGTGCGTGAGTGCGCTGGGCTCCCCGGCCCGCTCGTCGCCAGTGTCGGCCGGTTCGGAGCACGGCGAGAGATTCAGTAGGAAGGTGTTTGTGGGGGGCTTGCCGCCAGATATCGATGAAGGTGAGTGGTAAAAACATAATTACACATGTAGTAGCAGTATAAGAATATGCACTACCCCATATCGTCCTCGTATATCAACATAATTGCTGACGCATACGACTTTAAAACAAAATCGAATAATTGCAGTTATTTAATTTTTTCCCAAAATAATACAAGGCAAAAAAATTGCAACAGGAAATGCCACGCTATATTTATCTAGTAACAAAATTAAGTTAGTTACAGTCTATATCCTCTCATTTGTGAGAGGGTTTTAGGGCATTCAGGCGCCCGCCGCGATGCCCCAATGCGTGTTGGCGGATTTCACAAGTCTTCGAAATATATTTTTGATTACTTTTACCGCCGAGCACGTGGTAAATCAGCACTTAAAATTGCAATTAACGATTTCATTGGTGGCCGGCGGGGATCGAACCCGGGTTGCTTGTGTGCTGTGAAATTTACAGCGAGCGCTTAGCCCCCGAGTTACAACGGCTCCATAATAATATAAATAGATATAGTAGTTAACATATTATTAATAGTAATCAAGAATTGACTGTCGGTGATAATTGAAACACTTTATAGTAGCGATGGATGTTGTTTTCACAAACTACACCTACACTACACTATCTGTAACTACACTACCCTGAGCTGCCACGGCTCTTTTTTCTATTTTATAATTAACAACTATTTAATTAAATGAAACTAATTTTTACGGATTTTATCGTATTTAATTAGCTTCTGTGCATAGCTTTGACTTAGTTTTTGTGCCTTTTAAAATGTACGCGGCGCTCTATCTTTCTTTCATTGTTCGTCTGAGTATATCAGAATTTTTTTTTCATAGAATAGTATAGAATAGGGTGACACAGACGAGCATATTGTCCACCTGATGGTAAGTGGATGCTGTGGCCTGTTGATATTTACATTTATACTCAAATAAGGATCAAAATACAGATGCATTGTCACCCCTAAGAACTAAGACTGAATGCCTCGTGTCCAGTAGAAAGGGTCTCCGGTTCTTTACACTCACCATACGAAACACAGCAGCTTTAAGCTGCTATTTTACGCTGGTACGTGGTCCTACCTCGGTCGAGTCGACCCATTCGTGCTACCACCATAATAAAGCTGCATCGTGGTTCTGCCACGTAAACACCCACACACTGGTTCAACCACCACATGGCGAAGACACATGGCAGTGAGGTCACGTTTTTTTTTTTAATTAATAAACTTTTGAATATTTAATAGCGTGCGCGCAAATGCGATAATCGAAGTAATGCCTGCAGCAGCCTTGAGTGCAACTGTAGCGCGCATCGATTGTGGCCGATCGTTGCCTAGATACGCCCGTGCAAACATGACTAATGCGTTTACATGGCAACTTTGTACTCACCAATCGCCTTTCAAAATAATTAAAAATACTAGCAGTGTTTCCATTGGTTCCGGTTTGGGATATTTATTTATTTGATTTACCAACTAAATACAAATGCAACATTTCAGCCAGCTACATTTTGTTTAAGCGATAACAGTTTTTACATGTACTTAAATAAAAGGTAAGCACAACTTATACAAGTCCACTGTTGGACATAGGCCACCCCCCCCCCCATAGATTGCCTCTTATGGGGGATTTTACCATAGTTGCCATGCACATCCGCAGTTTTTTTTTATTATGAGTTATCAGGAAGATGCTTGCTGTCCATCTCCTGTTTTGTTAACCGCTACACCTTTTTTACTGGAGACGAGGCATTCCATCTTATGTCCTGAAGCGTGACAACGCATCTGCATTTTGATTTTTAATTGAGTATAAATTTAGATGTCTATAGGCCACAGCATCCACTTACTATCTAGTGGAATTTGTGCTCGTTTGTCACCTGTATTCTTAAAAAACACGGTTTGCTTCAAGATTAACTTAATTAATTATTTAAAAACAAAAATAATAACTAAGTGTGAGAATTTAAATTGACGATAGATATATGAGACACACAAAAAATAAAATATTATCAAATAGGCACGTTTAGCTTTAAAATTATCGTTAAGTATAAAAATTAGCAATCATTTTGCTTTCCTATATTTCCTTTAAATTGACGTATTATACTGACAGACAGACAAAATACGAGTAGGTATAGTATAGTCGGCAAGGGACGCCTGACACGGAAGTTTATCGACCGAATTGGCGATACACGAGTATGGAAGATGGGCCAAATTAAGAGTACCCTTAACCGACGAGCGTAAGCGTATAACGTATTAAGATGCGAGAGAGGTGTCAGGATCGTGCCAAATGGAACTCTAGGTGACAGACGAATCCTTCCCACCATGAAAGAGATCTATTAGATAGTCAATACACTAATTTGGATAATGATAATTGTACCTAATGATATTGATACTTAAGAGAGGATAATGATGCCACTTCTAAAGGCGAGTGTCAAGTATTTTTTTATGGGATAGGGTGACAAACGAGCACACAGTTCACCTGACGGTAAGTGGTTGCTGTGACCCATAGACATCTACATCTATCCCCATTAAAGAATCAAAATGCAGATGCGTTGTCACCCGTGAGGACTAAGGTGGAATACCTCTTCTCCAGTAAAAGGGTTCTCCGGTTCTCTACACTCACCATACGCAACACAGCAGCATTAAGCTGCTATTTTACGCTGGTATTCTGTGAGAGCGTGGTCCTTCCCGGTCGAGCCGACCCATTCGTGCTACAACTATACAATTAATATAGGTGCAGCATGGCTCTACCACGTAGAAAATATATTATTATTATTAATATTAGAACAAAGTTATTGGTATTCGAACTTATTTCTCGGATACAATTGTATTCAAGCCAGTGAAACAATGTCAAAGCAGCAACATAAAGATGCGAGAAGCCTTTTAAGTTAAATCAGTGTGAAACCCTAAAGGTTATTGTAGGCCTTATGTTTACATGTTTGCGACAGCTGACGGTTGCGAAAAATTAAAATTCATGCACTGTGTTTTATATTTGTGTGGTAGTTTCAGTTGGGAGTGTGTGCGAGAGACGGTAATACCACCAAAAACTTAAATATGAAAAGGGGAGGAGTACAAACGTACAAAGGGGATAATATTGTTGAAATCGGTTCATGTGCCAATCTTCATAGCAGTTACTTAAATTGTAGGATCTACAAATCTATAGCAATGTAGAATGTTCTTGAAACTGCTGACATACTGCCTTGTGTGTATACAATATATAGGTATGTTCGTACATAGTAAAAGCACGCTGCAGGTATATTATGACTGCAGCAGTACTTAACCGGGGAAGGAACACGCTTTCACAAAATTTCAGTGTGAAATAGCAGCATAATGCTGCTCAGTGACAAAATCGATAATGGGGCATTCTATCTGCAGTCCTCAAGGGTGACATCGCATCCGCTTTTTGGTTCTTAATCGAAGATAAAAATTTAAGTGTCTATGGGCCTCCGTAATTCACTAACCAATCAGGTAGTCTGTGGTCGGTGGCGTGAACGGGCTGCATTTTTTCCATACAAATGTATTCCCCTATTATCTTCCTGGATAACGCATATAGAGTAATCGTTCTTGTTTATAAAAATATAGGTCTACTGAAAGTGTGCTTCTGTCATTTGTTTTTGCAAAAAAAAAATTATAACATAAATAAATATGACTTTTCAAAACCCTAAAAAAAAATGCCCCGTTTTTACCTCCGTAATCAGACGACTAGCAAAGAAATTTGAAATTTTTTTTAAGATAAAAACAAGTGATAAAAGCATAGATCTATTCTTCCTTTAAATTTTTATACTAAAAATAATTTAATCGGCTTAGTTTTCGAAGACAAACAGGGAAATACGAAACGTCGATCGGTCATAGTTTTTGTGGGTAAAATCGTTCTGATCTGCAGTTGTCCCTAGCGCACTCTACGGGGAGAAACCGTATATATCGCGACGTCAATAGTTTCTTAAATAATTTTAATATTTAATATTAATATTTCTCAATTCCCGCGCAGACCGACTACGCTCTTAACAACCTTATTTTTAAGAAAATAAAAAAGGCAGTTTTGAAAGAGAATGGCTGAATGTCCGAATCCTGGGTTTGGACCAAAAAACTCTGTTATCGAATTTTTCAATTGAGAAATTCTCAGTAACTCCACGTATTCAGAAAAGTCCCATGCCTCAGAAAGCACGTAGAGGCTTTGTTCTTCCACCTGATCTCTCTCCGGTCGCAGCTTGCCGTACCATCGGACTACGGGTGTGAGGGAAAATAGAGAGTGCACCTGTGCTTGCGTATACACTCATGCATTATAATCCTACCCTGCGCAGATGGGTAATCTCCGTTAAGAAGACAGGCTGATGTGGCCAAAATTCGGTTAGTGGAAATTATAACTGCTGGGCAAACAGGACCCCTTTTAAAATAATCTCCCCTCTCCCAAGAAATGCCACAAAGCACGGTCCTGAGCCACCTGCATCCATCGACTACCTGCATGTCTTACCAGGTCGTTAATCCATCTAGTGAGGGGCTGCCCTTCACTTCGCCTAACGATACGAGACTGCCGAGAACCTTTCTTCCCCATCGGTTGTCGGTTCTTCGAGCTATATGACTAGCCCATTGTCACTTCAGATTATTTTTTTTATAGGATCGAGTGACAAACGAGCACACAATCCACCTGATGGTAAGTGGTTGCTGTGCAGCTGGGTTGTCACTCGTGAGGAATAAGATGGAATGCCCCTTTCCAGTAAAAAGGGTTTCCGGCTCTCTACACTCACCATACGAAACGCAGCAGCATTAAGCTGCTATTTCACGCTGGTATTTTGTGAGAGTGTGGTCTTTCTCCGGTCGAGCCGAGCCATTCGTGCTACAACTATACTACTAATATTACTGCAGCATGGCTCTACCACGTATAAAAATTCGATTTTGTAGTAGATTTGGGTATGACAACAACGTGGTGATATGGGGTAGGTAGTAGATTCTCGATTTCTCGCAACTATACTACGACAACGCCGACAATCTAGGACAATATAATATCACTTAGGTCACACAAAACGTCTAATCTGCGTAAATGCGAACCAGAAGATTAAGCGCAATAAACTAGGTGGCCTAGATTATAGACAAAGCCTGGGTGCTGTTGGTAGAGATAAGCCGCACGTTTTTCAGTCTCCACCGGCAGGGCTTGGTATTAATTTTGTAATTTGTTTTATTAGAAAAATTGGGTCAAGTACGTTTAGAACTCTCTTTATAAGCGGCGGTAATTGTTACGTATTTTAAAAAAGGTTATGTTTTTTTAATGGACGGCCCCATCACATAGTAGCTTGGCCTTTGGTGTGGGGCGCTGAGGGCTGTAGGTTCGAGTCCCGCACTGAATGTTTGTCCTTGTTCAATTTGTTTGTATACTGCGTCCACGATACAGAAGAAAATCCTGGAGTGCCGGTGTACCGTTTAAAAAAAAAGAAGTGGAGACTATATTTTGTCGAAACGACTAGAATTTATTTTTAAACCGACCTCAAAGAAGGTGACATACTCAATTCGACTGTATTTTTTATGTTTTACCTCAGAACTTTTTTTCTAGGTGAACCGATTTTGATGATTCTTTTTTTTATTTGAAAGCTGGTGCCTTTCATGTAGTCCCATATAACTTGTAGCTCTTGAGTTAAACTTAATAATGCGTATTTAATTGACTTTCCCGACTACATTGATGATGTTCTCATTTTATTTATATTGAAGTGTCGGTCGTACAAAATTTTTAATTTTACTACTTGTTTTACAATACACTTAATGATTATTATGGGACAAAAGCGCTACAAAACTCGACTTCACGTGAAAACATTATACAGACGTCCGTTTATATTAGGGGTGCTTTTTGTTCTCCTTCATCACCTACAAAAAATTGCATGGAGGATGAACCATCGCAGTAGGTACCAGACATCTCGCATCTTTCTGAGGGCAGCGGCGTCAAGCGCCTTTTTTTTAAAGAAGTGACAAACGGACTCCAACTCCACTTGATTGCAAGTGGCTGCTCCAGTCCATGGACACCTGTAGCCAACTTCAAACAAAGAAGGCTAGAAGAGACGCCTATGATGGAATGTCTCTAGGTTGTAATTTTACTGGTTCACTTTACCTTTCAGTCCGGCACACACCTGTATACGCACTGCAGCAGCAGCGTAGCAGGAATAAAAGCTCTCTTTCTCTCTCATCAAAACTAAACATGTACAAAATTAGAAGAAAAAAACATACACCACTGTTAAGATGAATGGCTTATTGTTTTTTTGTTTTATAGGATAGAGTAACAAACTAGCACACAGTCCACCTGGTGGTTAAAAAGGTTGCTTCGGCCCATAGACACCGACATCTATCCTCGATTACGAATCAAAATGCAGACGCGTTGTCACCCGTGAGGACTAAGATGGAATGCCTCTTTTCCAGTGAAAAGGGACTCTTATCTACACTCACCATACGAAACACAGCAGCATTGAGTATTCTGTGAGAGCGTGGCCTTTGCCCGGTCGAGCCGAGCCATTCGTGCTACAAGTATACTACTGATATAGCTGCAGCATGGCTCTAACCACGTATAAACTAAATTTGTGTCACTGATGTCCAAAAACTTATTTCAAATTAACGTTTTTATTAAGTCACTTTCTTGTTTGCCTGACTGTCTGTGGTTCCAGGTGGAATTTAGTAATTGATTTTAAACTTAACTTCCCGATGAGCTGGAAACTTGAAATTTTGAATATAGCTCAAATTCGGATGAGAGTGCAAGAATATGATAAAAAAACATGGTATTATTTATTTAAAAAAAAACAACTTGTTTATATTTAACAGCAGTTAACAATAATTGACAGCAGTGGTAGCTTAGGGGCTTAATGCACGTTGTAAATATCGAGCAAGCCTGGTTTTTGATTCCCGCCGGCACCGATCAAATTGTTGGTTACAGTATAAAGTGCTAATTTACCACGTGTAGCGGTGCGGTAAAGGGAAACATCCTGAGGAAACCAACATGTCTGAGAAATGGAAAAAAATATTCGAAAACAAGTGAAGTCTACCAACGTATACTGAGGCGAGCGGGCATTCTTCATGCTTGCCCTAAAACCCTCTCATAAATGACAGGAGGCAAGCCTGTGCTCAGTAATGAGACTCTAATATAGGCTGTTTCTTTACTTTTTACTTTTTTATTTCAGATGAAATAACTTCGTCATTCCGGCGATTTGGTCCTTTGGTCGTCGATTGGCCTCATAAGGCCGAGAGCAAGAGCTACTTCCCGCCGAAGGGTTACGCGTTTTTGCTGTTTCAAGTAAGTGCTTATTTTTTCTTAGTTTAGAAAAATAAATGGCAATAGAAACTTATTTTTAAATTTAGGTTATAAATAATACTTCTTGAAAGACATATGTTTAATTTACCACTGGTTCGGAAGATACCTCTGTTTTGTGAAGAACCAGCAAGAAACCCAGCGAGACTTTCTTTTTTGAAAAAAAAACTGTTCACAATCATTAAAGTTACACAATAAGTAACAACACAAAACAAATTAGAAATAGTTAATAAAGTTTTTAAATTTGGCAGAAGTCAGATTTTGAATATTTTCTAGGATTTTGTTGTAAAAGCTTATATATCGCCCCAAGAATAAATTACTGACTTGTGGAGTCGAGTAACTTTAAAAAAAATGCAGTAAGTAAAAATCAAAAAGAAATCAGCATCATCAGCGTTTTCCTCATCTATTACATATAATAAATCTGTAGAAAAATTTTATGTTCACGTGCTCATGACGCATTTTTCATGAAGTGTTTGATCCATCATGAAACTTTGTTGAAAAGTTTCAGTCCACTTAATAACCCGGTGTATGAATGTTGCCTGGCCTACCTGGGTACACCTGGTACTGCGCTGTAAGTCTTACTTACCTATAAGTCGCAAAAAAATTCGCCCATTCAAGTAATAATAATAACAATCCGTCAGCTAAGCTGACATAGGGGCAAACTACCCCAAAGTAGTATTTTCAAAAGTTTCTCCGGGGGTTAATAATTTAAATATATTTAAATAAATCTGATCTACTCACTGGTTACACGCTTCACCAACAAGTAATCTCGGCACATTACTTGATGGGGAAAGCTTGCGCATCGCCGTAGTAATCCGACTAGGAGCGGCGATTTGTCAACCCCATCAGAGCCCCTGTGATAGCAGCGTCGACGAGTTTGGGGCTCCACGGACTTTCATTTAAGAAAAGTGCTGGTAGGTTTTCACGGCACGGTCATGTACCTGCTTATTAAGTGGACTGAAACTTTTCAACAAAGTTTCATGATGCATCAAACACTTCATGAAAAATTATGTTTTCGTTATGAGCTATCGGATCATTACCGAAGAGCAAAAATAAGGGTTCTAATTTCCTTTTTTTAAAGTTAATTGCCATTGTGGCTGCTGACGGTTCCATTAGTCTTAAAGAGGATTTAGCTATACGCATAATAAATCTATAGAAAATTGTGTGTGTGTGTGAAAATATAACTCATCGCCCACCAACCAGTATGGGCAGAATAACATCTGCCGGTTCAGTTAGTAATAACTAAAAATTAAAAACCGTCTGCGCCAAGCTTATAACTATGGCAAATATCCTGTACAAGGCAATCTATGTGGGAGGCCTATGTTCAGCAGTGAAATTTTACAGGGTGTAATGGATGGATGTATAGAAGATAATCTACCAGGAGCACATGACCCACTGAGAGCTGAAATTATTAAATTAACAGTAACATTACAACTGTGGCAAATATCCCCCCTATGAGGCAATCTATGGGGGAGGCCTATGTTCGCAGTGGACATACGGTAACAGTTGCAGTAAGTTACGTTCCTTAAGGTTGAAGGCATATAAATAATTATTATTAATCAACCTTGAAGCAAAAGGCCTAAAATAATCAGACCGGAGACAAGGAGCAGTGTCAATGAAATCCATCATACGATACGGTCGCTAGTGTACCTAGCCAAGCGTGGCGATTACCTAAACTTTAAACTACTGAGAGAGTGAACAGTATTTCACAGTAGACTTAGTGATGATAATGAACATTGTCAGAATCTTTGATTCTAAGTATCATGTGTATCATACGTGTCATGGATATTAACATTTGCATCCATCCAGATTGCATCAAAAGGGTATTTGCTGTAGTTACCACGCTTGGCCACTGGGTTGGCAACCGCAGTTTTTTATTATTCTGAGTTATCATGAAGATACCGACGCAACACTCGCCAGAGGCGTGTTATATTATGTCCAACGTGTGTACCTGTGTATATTTGTATCTGTCAAGGTGTGCTGTTAAGATCTAAATGGATGAACCGATTTCGATATAGTTTCTTTTTTGTTTGAAAGGTGACTTAATCGAGATTGTTCTTAGCTATGGTTCAAGAAAATATTTTCAACTGTTTGCAGATCATCAGCCCTTTATGTTTCGGGGATTTTTTTATATTTTCAATATAAGTTATTCTGTCAAGAAATTTTTAGTTTCATCCCCGTGCCTCGTAAAATACGTAAAGCCTTTAGTTGGCCATGCGTCTGAACTCTCTCCGGTAGCGTCGGTTGGCGATTCACCGGACTATCAGAGTGAGAGAATAGAGAGTGCAGATGTCAAGTCTCTGTAGAAACTGGACTTTATGACCGAAATTTAGTCAGAAGAAGTACATTATTAGTACTATTATTAAAGCAGCGCTCAAACTTGCAATGAACAATTTCATTCGTGCCAACAGGAATCTAAAATCGAATTGCTCACGTACCTATGAATCATACGGCGAGCGCTTAACCCCTGAGCTACCAAGTCCCTTGTAGCAGTATTGAATTATTTCTCTATTATTTTTACGGGTTAACCGTGGCCGTAAGAGTAAGAGGCGACAGAGTTTAACCAAACATGAAATGGACAGCAGCATCTCTCTTATAACGTTTAAAAATAAAAACCTGTGATTGCCCACCCCGCTTGCCAAGCTTGGCAACGTAGGAAATATGGAAATAGCCCCCTATCGGGCAATCTGCCGGAGAGCCCATGTTCAGCAGTAGATTTTTTTGATAGGTTATAACGATAATGGATGTAGAGAATGTGTATAAATGCAACATTTGGTCTACAAAATGCTCCTTCCATCGTCCACAGGATGAGAGCTCGGTCGCTGCATTGATGGAGGCGTGTATCACTGATGACGACAAGCTTTACCTCTGCGTGTCGTCGCCAACAATCCGCGACAAGCCCGTGCAGATCCGGCCGTGGCGGCTCGCCGATGCCGACTTTGTTCTCGACGCCAGCATGCCACTGGACCCGAGAAAGACTGTGTTCGTTGGTGGGGTACCGCGTCCGCTCAAAGCTGGTGAGTTGGTTATTTAGTTTGCATCATATTTTACTGCTTACTTAGTTTTAAAGACACCTCATATTGTCTTGCACCAAAGGTATACATGGCAATTGTATTATATTAGTGCACAAACTTAGATTTATGAGTTTTATAACAAATTTTTATGATACATTTTCTTTTTAGTTTAATTTTCAGATTTTATAACCCAATTGCTCCAAAATGTTAAGCTAACCCTGCAGTTTACAATTTTTCCTTTAACCTCTATGAAATCTATGTTTATAGGATATCATTGAGTTACATATATCAATGATATACTACAATATATATTTATACGTGGTAGAGTCATGCTGCATATTAGTACTATAGTTGTAGCACGAATGGGTCGGCTCGGCCGGGGAAGGACCACGCTCTAACAGAATACCAGCGTAAAATGGCAGCTTGACACTGCAGTGTTTCGTATGGTGAGTGAAGAGAACCGGAGACCCTTTTTTACTGGAAAAGAGGTATTCTTAAGAATGAATCATCTTAGTCCTCACGAGTGACGACGCATTTGCTTTTTGATTCTTTATTGAGGATAAATGTAGATTGTATGGGTCACAGCAACCACTTACCATCAGGTGGACTGTGTGCTCGTTTGTCACCCTGTTCTATAAAAAGAAGAACCTGTTCTTCAATCTTGCAATTTCTCAATTTGCAAATTTTTTTACACAATTTCAACAAAACTCTCAAGGGTATCAATGTAAAAATCAAGAATTTGACGGTGGTATTGTAAAAGAATCCATCATTCCGTTTCTTATCGGGGATGTAAGAGGCAACTATAAGAAATGCCAGAAAGATCGTATGGCATCCGACAAAAATATACGAGTATATTCATCTCGTTTATGCCAAATGTAAAATATTCAAACTAGCGACGGGGTTCTCGTAATTCTTTATTGAATGTTCGTGAGTCCGCCTGCGATCTGTGGGAATTATGGCGAATACAATGGACAGGCGCACGTGAACTTTTCTGATTGATAACAAGAAGAAGAAACCAATAATATTTGATTGTAAATTTTTACATAGGCATATATGTACATCTATCCTCAACTACGAATCAAAATGCATCAACATAGATGGAATTACAACTTATTTCCAGTAAAAAGGGTCTCCGCTTCTTTACACTTACCATACGAAACAGCAGTGTCAAGCTGCTATTTTACGCTGGTATTCTATGAGAGCGTGGTCCTTCCCCGGTTGAGCCAACCCATTCGTGCTACAACTACATATGTTACTAATATAACTGCAGCATGGCTCTACCATGTATAAAATAATTTATTTTTATATGAAGAATTATAAAATGAAGGTCGAGTAATTGAGAAATTTAAAAGGTAATTGTTTCTAAAAGCTTAAAAAAATTTGCATCACTTATATATACATATAGAAAACTTTTTGTCGTTCCAGTTGAATTAGCAATGATTATGGATCGGCTGTACGGCGGCGTGTGCTATGCTGGTATCGACACCGATCCAGAACTCAAGTATCCCAAGGTAATATTGCTTGAGACTGCTTACATGTTTTCCTTTGTGTAGAATTTAAATTTAACGCTGAATTCCATATTGACAGGGCGCAGGTAGAGTGGCGTTTTCCAACCAGCAGTCGTATATCGCCGCCATTTCGGCGCGCTTCGTTCAGCTTCAACACGGAGACATTGACAAACGCGTCGAGGTGACATATACTCCTTAATTATAATAAATATCATATTATAGTATTTTTTTTTGATTTTGGAATGTCTATAGAACAGAATATTTTTATACAATATAGATTACAAGTAATTGTTATTGAAGATCGTTTACTTATACGAGGGCGGCTCTGAACATTTCGGGAATCAAGGAAGTGACACAACATTACTATTTAAAAATGTATTTATTGCTTTTCGAAGTATTCTTCGCGAAATTTGACACATTTTTCCATACGATGGAACCAATCATTGAAGCAACCATTCCATTCGGAAGTTGGGGTCTCCAAAAGGCCTCCGTTTTGTAGGCGTCCACAGCTTCTTCAGGTGATGAAAATCTCTGTCCACGCAATTTATTCTTTATTTTAGGGAAAGTATATCCAGGATTCGTCACCTGATACGATGATGTATACAGCATTTGAGGATCCTACGTGGAATCTTTCGAGAGTTCTGACGCACCAAGTAACGCGAGCCGCTTTTTGCTCTTCACAGAGCGAATGCGGTATCCATCGGGAAAACAACTTTTTTACACCTAATTGTTCATACAAGATTATTTGTATTTGACTCATGCCAATGTCTAAAGTTGCCTGAATTTCGCGGTATGTCACATGTCGATCTTCCTCAATCAGCTTACGCAAAGCATCAACTTTTTCTTGGGTGATTGCAGTTTTTGGACGACCTTGACGGGGATCATCACTGAGCTTGACACGTCCACGTTGAAATTCAGCAAACCAGCGATAAATTGTGGTTTTGGATGGGGCTTCATCACCAGATGCAGAAATCATCCGGTCAACACACTGTTTTTGTGTTAAACCACTTCGAAAGTCATAATAAATCATCGCTCTTGAATTTTCTCGAGTCAATTCCATTTTCTCAACGACTAAACAAGTTTGACAAAACCTTGTGACAAGACCGAGAATCTTATTTTAAATAAATAAATGGTATTCGATTTTTAAAACCAAGGAGTTTCCAATTAAAAAGATTTTAATATGACAGGAACAGTGGAAATATTCCATTCCCGATACTTTTAGTGCAGCCCTCGCGTACCACTGGTTCGGAAAAAAAACCTCCATTGAGAAAGTGCCGTGTAGTGGCGGTCAAGAATATCCACTACCCCATATCCTCCCGTGGGTGTCGTAAAAGGCGACAAAGGGAAACAGGCAGGAGATGGGCAGCAGCATCTTCTTGATAACAACAAACTAACAATAAAAAAAAACTGCGGTTGCCAACCCGCTCGCCAAGCGTGGCAACTATGGCAAATACCCCCCTATGAATGACAGTAACAAAGAAACGGCCCCCAGTCCCCGGCGGACCCGCTATTCCTGGCTACGGTGGCGACCATGGTAACGGCGGGGCAGGGGGTGCTAAGAATCTCCGGTGGAGGTTCGGTTGCCACCTTAGACGACTCGACCTGGCAACGTACAACGCACGCACCCTGAGGACTGACGAGAAGATCGTGGAGCTGGAAGAAGAGATAGACAAGTTGCGCTGGCAGATTATAGGATTATCCGAAGTCCGAAGAGAGGGGGAGGACACGGTAATCCTCGAATCCGGCAACTTGCTCTATCACCGGGAGGGCGACCATCTGTCCCAAGGAGGTGTCGGATTTATCGTCCACAAGTCTCTCGTTAACAACGTTGTAAAGATTGAGAGTGTGTCGACGAGGGTTGCGTACCTTATACTCAGAATCACCAAACGGTATTCGCTGAAGGTCATACAGGTTTACGCACCAACCTCGGCACACCCCGATGAGGAGGTGGAGGAAATGTATGAGGATATCTCTAGAGCCATGCATTCCTCCAAAACCCAATATACGGTGTTAATGGGAGACTTCAATGCAAAACTAGGCACAAGAGAGAACGGTGAGATGAAAGTGGGGAAATTTCGAATAGGGCAACGGAACCCAAGGGGCCAGCAGCTGGCTGACTTCATGGAGAAAGAGGGACTCTTTATGATGAACTCTTTCTTCCAGAAGCGGCCCCACAGGAAGTGGACCTGGTCGAGCCCCGACGGTTCGACAAAAAATGAGATTGACTTCATTATGACGACCAGACGACAACTGTTCAGTGATGTCTCCGTGATCGCGAGGGTGAAAACTGGTAGCGATCACCGAATGGTTAGAGGCACACTGAACCTAAACGTTAAGTTGGAGAGGTCTCGTCTAATGAAGTCAACGCTCCGTCCCCCTCGTGCTCTAATCCAAAGTCCCGAAACCTTTCAGCTCGAGTTACAAAACCGTTTTCAGTGCCTAGAAGACTGCAATGAAGTGGACGATATGAATGACAAGCTCGTGGAAACTGTCCATGCGGTCGGAGCTAAGTTCTGCAAGACCCGCCGCAGAAGAACACAAAAACTCTCCGATCACACTCTTAATCTCATGGCTGTTAGACGGGAGATGAAGCTACATTCTTCAACAGACTTGACAGCATAGAGGCATCTGAACAGACAGATATCCAAATGCATGCGGCGGGACTTACGCAACTTCAATACAGCTCGTATTGAAGAAGCGATCGAGCGGAACCAAGGCTCCAAAGTCTTTGCCAGAGATCTGTCTGCCAGAAAGAGCCAACTGTCAAAGCTGAAGACAGAATGTGGCAGCATCGTTTCCGGGACACCTGAGATTTTGAGTGAGATTGAGAGGTTCTATGGGCAGCTGTACACGTCATCGTTGGAGCCACACGCAAGTGTGAGTAACGATCCAAGAGCGAGTCTCATCCGACACTATTCCGAAGATATCCCGGACGTCAGTCTGAGCGAGATTAGAATGGCTCTCCAGCACCTTAAAAACGGTAAGGCCCCAGGCGAGGATGGAATTACAGCGGAGCTTCTGAAAGCGGGTGGAAGACCGGTACTTGAAGTCCTTCAGAGGCTCTTTAATTCCGTCCTCCATGGTGGCATTACACCGGAGGCGTGGAGCAGAAGTGCGGTGGTCTTGTTCTTCAAGAAAGGTGACAACGCCCTCCTGAAGAACTACAGACCGATTTCCCTTCTGAGCCGCGTCTACGTGCTGTTTTCGAGAGTCATTACGAATCGTCTCGCGCGCAGACTTGACGACTTCCAGCCTCCCGAACAAGCCGGTTTCCGAAAGGGCTTTAGCACCATAGACCACATACATACCCTTCGGCAAATTGTACAGAAGTCCGAAGAGTACAATTTGCCACTATGTCTGGCGTATGTGGACTATGAGAAAGCCTTTGATTCCGTCGAAATTTGGGCGGTGCTGCAGTCCCTTCAGCGGTGCCAAGTTGACTGTCGGTATATCGAAGTGTTGAAGTGCTTGTACAGTAGGGCTACGATGGCTATCCGAGTACAGAACCAGAGTACGAAACCTATCCAATTGCAGAGAGGTGTAAGACAGGGTGACGTCATATCCCCGAAACTCTCCACCGCTGCATTGGAAGACGTTTTCAAGCTTCTGGACTGGAAAGGATACGGTATTAACATCAATGGCGAGTACATCACTCAGCTTCGATTTGCCGACGATATAGTCCTTATGTCAGAATCGCTGGAGGACCTAAGCACTATGCTCAATGACCTCAATAGTGTTTCCCAACGGATAGGTCTTAAGATGAACATGGACAAAACTAAGATCATGTTTAATGTCCATGTCACACCTATGCCGGTAGTTGTTGGGAGCACTAAGCTCGAAGTTGTTGACGAGTATGTTTACCTGGGACAAATAGTCCGACTAGGTAAGTCCAACTTCGACCGAGAGGTCAATCGACGGATTCAACTCGGCTGGGCAGCGTTCGGGAAGCTACGACACATCTTCTCGTCAGACATACCTCAAAACCTGAAAACGAAATTGTACAACCAGTGCGTGTTGCCAGTGATGACTTATGGAACTGAGACGTGGTCCTTTACTGCTGGCCGTATGAGGAAGCTCAAGGTCGCTCAGCGAGCTATGGAGAGGGCTATGCTCGAAGTTTCTCTGCGTGATAAACTTAGGAATGAGGATATCCGCAGTAGAACCAGAGTAACCGACATAGCCCAACGGATTAGTAAGCTGAAGTGGCAGTGGGCCGGCCATATAGCTCGAAGAACCGACAACCGATGGGGAAGAAAGGTTCTCGAGTGGCAGCCTCGTACCGGTAGGCGAAGTGTAGGGCGTCCCCCCACGAGATGGAGTGACGACCTGGTAAGATATGCAGGAAGTCGATGGATGCAGGTGGCTCAGGACCGTGCTTTGTGGCATTCTTTGGGGGAGGCCTATGTTCAGCAGTGGACTTGTGAAGGGCTGTAATGATGATGATGATGATGATGATTGAGAAAGAAAGGTTGTACAAACTATATACAATACTTATCTAAGAAACATCTTGGAAGCGACCACCTCATTCCCAGGTGTTATTATCAACCATGTATTTATTTTTACTATAATAACCCATTTTATATAGCTTTTGTTTGAAAAATATTTAAGTTGGTAACCTTATATATTTTCTGGAACTTTGTTGTAATAGCGTATTATTGCCCCAAGAATGAATTACTGACTGTAGAGTCGAGTAACTGGTATCACTAGCTTGTTTGTTCTTAGTGTTTACAGAGTAAATATCAGTTTCTTATTGTCTATGATGGACTTGTTAAAGACTAATAATGATAATTTATGAGTTTATTGCATACTGTAGTAGCTCCTATCTAATATATAAAAACTAATGTTTGTTTGTTCGTATTTTATGCGCTGCCATACCGTTCATCAGATTGCGGTTAAACTTTGGCAATTTAATGCATGCACTTACGCAAAGGTTTTAGGCATAGTACAATTAACTTACGGTAGGTGGCGAGCGTTTGTCATTATATACCATTCACCTTCAATGAATGTATTAATCATTGTACCAGTATAAGTATATTATAACTAACTATGCCAAATAATTAGGTAATCACAACACATTCATAATAATTATATCTTGTCTGTGTTCACGAATTTTCAGATTTTTATTCCATACAGCAAGCAATTTTCGTAAAAATAAAATAACATAAGCACAAAATAAGAAAATTTTGCATTTTTTAAAGTGATACTTCGTAAAAATTTTAATTCTCTAATTCTATAGTAATCTAATTAAATAGTGCTTAAATTAAGCTCATAAGTCAAGAAAATTATCAAATAGCGAATTTCGCGTTTGCGTAACCGCATTTTATAAACTACGCCAAATTTCAATCATCTACATATATATTCTCAGAGAAAACATCTGTTACACACAGACACACGTTTTTTGACTTATTTTCTTTGGCGACGTTTCCTCTAACATCAGACGGATTAAATAGTTGACTACGATCTCTATTTTTTTTCTTGACTTTCAAAATGTACTTTGTAAAGGACAAAATTGAATAAAAATATTTGACTTTAACTATACCAAGGCTTTAAGATATTGTGAGCTCATTAGGATAAGGTAGCCGGGGCTAAGTATATGATATCATTACAGTAAAAAAAATATCAAGTTTCCTTATTTACTATGAGCACTTGAAATAGCACTAATAAAAGTTTAAACTAAAATCCCTTTAAATTAGTTTTGCTCAAAGTCCCGAAGGACCGCATTCCTTAGAATAATAACTAGACGACTTTTCAATCTTTTTTAAAGATATAACTGGGACACTTATCTAAGTTTATGATAATGACTTGCAGGTGAAGCCGTACGTCCTGGACGACCAGATGTGCGACGAGTGCGCTGGAGCCAGATGCGGCTCCAAGTTTGCTCCTTTCTTCTGCGCGAACGTCACTTGCCTTCAGGTCTGTATTATTATTACCTGTGTTTGTTCGTTCTTTCGACCTGTACTAGTCTACTGCTACACATGGGTCTCTTATGTTAAAGCGAGGATTTGTTGTCATCGCCACCATTTCCTGACAGGTGGATTTTCTCTTGAAATATCAAACGTTGTGCACATTTGATTCTGCTTACAGTCACCGTCTGGATCTGAGGCTATGAGATCTTTCTGGTGTTACCTATAGTCACCACTCACGATGGGACGAAATTAGATTTAACTTAAATATATACAGGAAGTCGATGTATGCAGGTCGATGTCAAATAGATAATACAGGAATTTGATGGATGCAGGTGGCTCGGGACCGTGCTGTGTGGCATTCCTTGGAGGAGGCCTATGTTCAACAGTGGACTTGAGAAGGGCTATACTGACGATGATGATGACATAATATTGTCTAGACAACTTTTACACGGTTACTGATAATGAGGTGTTAGGTTTGGATCCCGGGTTGTGTCAACATTTGAGTTTATCTGTTAAGAAATGCTAAGTAGCAAGTTGGCGGTGTTTCACGCCTGTGCCTCGGAAATCAAGTAAAGCCTGCGCCTGATCTCTCTCCAGTCGTACCGGATCGCCGTCCCATCGGACTATGAGAGTGATAAATAGAGAGTGCACCTGTGGTTGCGTATACACTCGTGCACCACGATCCTGTCCTGCGCAGATGGCGAGTCTCTGTTGAGACTGGTCGCTGTGCCCTAAATATGGTCTGGAGGACATTTCTTATATTTACGCGAACACTACATATTCAATTAAAAAAAAGTAAAATTAAACGAAGTAAAATCCGTAAAATTAGTTTCACTTGACATTATTATTTATGTCTTCGTGAGCTAGAATATACAGAAACAAACTTTTTTATTCAATATAGATTATTATAAATAATAGTTTATTGAAAGTCACTCTTTTGTTTAATTACCATTGGTTCGAAAAAAACCTCTATCGTGGACTTTTTTTTAATTAATAGCTTACAATCATGTATGTTACACAAACTACAAAACAAATTAGAAATAGTTTGGTAGCGATCACCTCATTCCCAGGGGTTATTATCATCCATAAATTCTTTAATATTATAATAACCCTTTTTATACAAACTTAGTTTAATAAATTTTTTGTACTTTGAGCAGGTTAAATTTTATATATTTTGTGGAATTTTGTTGTAAAAGCGTATACATCGCCCCAAGAATGAATTACTGACTCGATGGAATCGAGTAACTGGTACTACTAGCTTGTATCTGTTCCTAGTATTTACAGAATGAATATCATTTATTTTTGTATAAGTTATTACATTTATTAATAGGCGTTGGTTCTACAAATAAATTAAAAAGGTCATGGTGGAGGAAGCTTCTAGGAGATTGATATTAAATGCTCCACATATTACAACAGATTTATTCTATTTATTAAGCTTAACAAAAACTTCCTCCATAATTTTTTGCAAAAGATTCATATATAGAACATGGGGGTCTGTAGACGCTTACAACAATGAGATGCTTAAACTTAACACATGCCATTTGTACAGTTTGCTCAACAGGCAGGCAAAATATTAAAGATTTGTTCGAACGTGTGGTTACAGTACTACTGCGAGCACTGCTGGGCCACCATCCACTCGCGGCCCGGGCGCGAGTTCCACAAGCCGCTCGTGAAGGAGGGCGCCGACCGGCCGCGCGCCGTGCCCTTCCGCTGGTGTTAGTCACCCACCTCGCCCCGCGTACCAACCACGCTACGGTGCTACGGCGCTACGCGGCTACAGCGCTACGGCGCTACGGCGCTCGCACGCTACAATCTTATGTTGGCCGTGTCCTGCCCTACCCTCCAATCACTAAAAGGTCGTTAGTGAGGGCTAATAAATAATCTTTCGCCCACCAGATGTCGCTAGTTGGGACTGAGGTGAACTTATTTGTTATACAGATGGTCACACAGTATCATCATCATTCATTGATTTAGTTAAAAGTTTTTCCGTTTCTATTGTATGTATATAGTATACAAAACAATGCCTCAATGCCGTTTGATTTATCCATTTGTAATCTAATTATCTAATTAATATATAATATTACTTATATTTCAGAAAGAAACATTAATCTCTATACTTTATTAAAAATTAACTTCCCGGACTATGAAACCTGTCAAATATTTCATCTCATTCCTAAGTGTCGCCGCCCTGGTGGCGGAAAGTCATTGAAGAAACATGATGAAAATGTGTGAACACTTCGTATAGATAAAAATCGACCTATTGCCCCTTGCGGCCTTTTAGATATTGGACGGCGGTATTACGGAGACGTTTGGAGCAACTTTCCCGACGTGACACCGTCGTCAATGTGGAACGCGGAAGTAGCAACGTTGCTCCAACTCGCTCTATAGTCTTACGTTTGTAGCTTGTGTGATGGATTGTTGTTCCAGTTGACGAACGATGTAGCCTCTACCAAAACTACACGAAATATTTTGAACTAAACTTTTTGCTACATTTGTTGGTCGGTCAGTGTTAGTGATTTAGTATTTTGTAGTCAAGAGTGGGAAAACTACAATTAATATAAAACTACAAGTGGTATAAAAACTAGAATAGAGATAGATTTGTATTGAATTTTTGCTTGCTCTCAACTGAGTTATTTATAGCAACATACAATTATATATTATTTTATGATGGCATTGCAAGTCTTCAAGGGTGATAACGCATTTGAATTTTAATTCCCAGTCGTGAATTGATGTAGTTGTCTATGAACCCCAGCAACCGCTAACTATCAGGCATACTGTGTGCTAATTTGTTGTAAAATTTCATATATATTTAAAAAAACCGAGATGGTTACGAACATTGTTTTAGTTCCACGATTTTAATATTTACTTATAAAACTACAAAACTCTCATAACCTATTTTATACCACTTTTAGTTTTTAATTAAATACCAATTGTAGCCTTACCTGCCGATCCCGAAAAGTACTAAATCTTTAAAGGAATACTGTTTCTGGCAACACTGACTTACTAACAAATCGTCGATGAGGAATATACAGACCATGTTTTTTAACTCAAGCGAAACCAAAGACAGCGAAGTCGTTGTCTTTGACCGTTTAATTTCTTAATAACTATCGATACGGAATCTGAGTAGCCAGCACTTTTGGCAAAACAGTATTTTATAATATTATTTTTGAACTTTAATACTAGCTCTAAATGACATTATTTGCTGATATTATCTGTGGCGTATTCAACGTTGACGTCGCTCGCTGAAATAAAAAGTGAGGTCGAAAGCCGAAGATAACATGAAGGCAACATTATCCAAAGTTTAATCTAATATTAAGCAAGATATATAGAATTCAAGTACAAGCCGTCGATGCTTTCTTGAGTTTTCTTTCGCACACTACTGTCCATCGTATAGTGTTGCCAGTTTATAAAACTTAATACTTTAAATTGTAGTTTTTCGATGTACGTGTAGAAGAAAATTTAAGAAGCATTCTATCGATATAAGCAAAATGTATTCAAATAAAAACTTAGCTAGTTGTCAGTTTGTCTCGTTGGTAAGGTCTATCTCGAAATAGTGATCGCGGCTCGCAGCGGCAGAATGCCCGCCGGATTGTGTGCGGCGGCTTTTTGCCGTCTGTTTGCACGGTCCGCATATTTGTAAGACGTAATATAAGACATAAGTGAAATGTCTGATTTCTTTAAAAAATAAACATATTTGTACCTGTGTAGCTAGAATGAATTTTCCCCATATTTAAACCCTCTCATGTTTTGATTTACGACTTGGATATTGTTGCATTTGTCTTGTATATCATCCCCCCCTCCCCCATTTTGTTGAGAGTCGAAGCTTACTTTAGTGTGGTTTCTAGACCAGAACTGGTTTGGATTTTTGGTGTTATACCATAAAGGCAGAAGGTGAAGCTGGTGTTTTAACTGATGGCAATAATATCGCATTGACAAAACTTCTAAATGCTGATAGTTGTGTCATTTGAAACGATAACCATTTAATAATTTATTGCTTAAATATACTTGGTTTTTAACTAAAGTTTTCATTTTTTAGGAAATTACATAATTTACTTATAACTGTGTAAGTGTTGTTCATAAAGAACCATAGACAAACTATCGATATCATTATTGATCCTAAACAGTATACATTTTATCGACAGCTTGTGCCTCTGCCTTTTGGTACAATGGATTGTCATGAGGTCTTGATTAAACTTGATTTTATTTACAATCATGTCGCTATCGCCAATGTAAATCGTTTGGTTCAAATGTTAGAGCTTGGGTTTGGACAATCATGACTTCAGTTTGAAGTTGCTGGTGTTCAGTGACGTTCGTTCGTTCGTTCGCTCACAATCCCCGCGCAATACGGGAGGCGGTACGGACTCGATTTCTAGTACAAACAATTAATAGAACGTTACCAATTTTGGCTGTAGTTTTCGCTCTTATATTTTTAGTGTAATGAAATGGTATAATATATATTAAATGAATTATTATTTTTTTGGATTCGCCGGGAATGTGCAATAGACGGTAGATTAGTACCTGTCAGGATGTTTATCCGACGCTGTTTAACTTAGTGTGTATAAATAGTTTACTTTGTCTTCTGAAATTTGGAATCGGGGTTAGAGTTCGGAATTAGGGTTGTTTATCAAAGTTGTTTTGTTCTAAACCAAGTAATTTACGAACCAACCGTTAGTATCGCATTCTAACCCTCCCTTGTTTGTATTTCGGACGCCTCTGTCGTTTGTTAGTATAGAATTATTATCAATTTTAAAACGCGGGTTCTATTATGGTGTGCTCCAACCTTGAAAAGGCTTTTGCTACCTTATTAATTAATGTGGAAAAGTGATATTGTTTAGTGTTTCGTAAGATGGCATATTTCTTGATGTTATTCTGTACTAAACGGCACAGACCCAAGAATGAAGGCTATTTGGGGGTATGTACTTAAAAGATTAAAGATAATAAATCGGATACAGCCACCGTATCCCGATCGACCACGGACGCATATAGACTGTAGTGAAAAGACTTGCGCGAATTTTTTGACGTTTTTTCCATGATTTTGAAACGGTTTTTTCGTGTCGTATATTTTCGAAGTTTAAGTGAGGCGAAAGTGCCTTGTGTCGGTGAGTGTTGGTGTACCCCTCCCCAGTACGAGACGATTGCTGAACATTTTACATCACAGCAGAGTACTATATCTTTGATGTTGTGCTTAATGTTCCATTCGGTAATCATCATATGATTTTCTTTGAGATTTTCTTCTGGATTCAACTAACATTCGCGTTTTACCGAATGTCTTTATAGCTTTGACCCTTAAGGTACAACAGAAAGCAAAAACAAAAGATAACAAAAGACTTTCGGAATAACTGAGTAAGATTGACTAAAAGACACTGCTGATTTTATATGCGAATCAAATTTAAGGAGGCTTGGTAGCCCAGTAGCTAGCTGGTATTCAATGACAAACTCGAGTCTATAAAGATCGAGAGAGACTTGAATATATCAATGTAAAAAAAATTACATACTCAAATTTTGACAATGTAGAGTTTGAGTTTGAACAATTACTGGTTGTGAGGCAACCAATATTAATCCTCAGCGGTGACAACGCATCTGTAGTCTTATTTGTTTGAAGTTGGCTGGTGGAATGCGGAGTCCGTTTGTCACTTCATTTTTTATTAAAAAAGATAAGCCCGAGGTTATTTTCTGAATACCGGGCTGTTTGGCTGCGGGTAAAATCCCTTATGGAACAATTGGTATGGCATAAAAATAGTTGATCCGAGTCTCCTCCGTGATACATTAGAAAATCATAGCGTGGATTTAACGATTTTTAAAGTAGATGCAAAAAATTAAAAGCAATCGTCTTGTTCTGAACCAACGGTTCCTTTACGCGTCGCCTGAGTGGAATTGTTCGGTTTTTTGATTCCTCGCGGCAGAACGGGTTTTGGTCTGTCAACTATACTAAAATCACAATCACCACATTTGACACGCTTTCTCCCTCTACCGGATGGATAATGTCTTGCAAACGGAAGGGACGAAAACCTGTTTTTCTAAACTTAATTAGATTCGGTCGATATTTAAATTAGAGAGCGTTTTAGATAATTGTCGTTATAACAACGCGTTGAGCGACTTCCCACGTCGTAACGTAAACTGTTTCGCAATTTAACTGCGGACAACGAGAATACTTTACATTCGTGTTTCTCATGATAGAGCGAAGTTACGCAACGATTACTGTTTGTAACAAAGGCTCTTATAGAAATAATAGTTTCAGTATAAATAGCGAATAAAGATTGCTAGACGCGATTTTAAGCGTGATTTTTCTCTTGAATTTAGAATTCTTTCATGTAGATGGTAATTCTGGAACACGCCTTAACGCTCCGAAATACATTTGTTCGGAACTTTTTCACGGCACCACACTCTTCGAACATACCTTTCATGGGTAGTCGCTTACCTTAACCTATTCTTTAGGTAAATTCCTATATTTTGACTGCATTTTAAATGTTTCCCAATTCGATATATTTCATGGTGTTTTGTGACAACACACTTGTTTTTTTTTTTTAAATTCGTAACGCTCTTTTAGATTGATTTCTCTGCAATGCTTTTTATCTTTTTACTGACTTCATATGATTTTGAATGTGTAATTTCCCAGTGTTCTCTATCTATTCTTTTCAATGATATTGCTCAATGTTTTCTCGGTGTTAAATTGTCGTCTCGGTGTGGCCCCCTTACCCTCCTTGTGATGAAACGTCGGTA